TCTACCTACAAAATCCAACAATTACTAGCTGTACATGATTGTTCTTTTTAGACAAGAAAAAGAAAAATGACCAGCATATTCGGTGTCTAGTAGAAGGTAAGTTGGAGTCTTGATTTCGGGGAAGGGAGGGTTTAAGTCTCCCAAATGTGCAAGCCAAATACTTCATAAAGAAAATGGATAAAATGTCTGGAACTGCTGGATATTTTTTTTCGCTGTTTTGATCTTAAATGAGAGAGGGCGAGAGGTTAGGTTGTTACATAATGGTGGGCTTTAGTTTGCTATGAACATGGTTGTCATTTAAGTTCTGGTGTTTTGAATATGCGACATCTTTTGTTTGTCTTGTGTGGTGGAATTTCTCTTACAGGCTCTCGTAGTGGGTATGAACTATCTTACAGGCTCGATTGCTGGTGATATTGAGCGAGACAACAAAGGGTCCTGTATTTTGATGAATATTCAGTCCTGGATTTTATCTCTAGTTCAATGCAATTTGTGAAAGCAATCAACACTTTAAAGATGTAATTTGTGTTATCTTATAGACAGTATTTATGACACAATAGATGAATCGTTAATTGGAACATCCAGAAATGATGAACCGAGAACATCCAGAGACCATATTTCCAGAAATGATGTACCAGGAACTTCCAGAGACAATAATTCCAGAAATAGTATCCAAAACATGGTAAATATAATATACAGATATTATTTGTTGTCAAATGTAGATTTACCAGGTTAGATCTTGTCCTTTAGATTGTTTCATGGCTAGTTGGCTAACTAATGTTTCTAACGTGGCATTATCTTTGTTCAGCTCAGTTCCTTTCCTGTCTGATGAAAATTCAGCTTTAGATGTTTTGTTTTCTGTGGCTGACTTCACCAGCAATCCATGATCTGACAAACTCGTCACATAGCCCATGTTCTAGGTCATTCAAATATTCAACCAGTCAAATGGTCTATTCAGTACAAGATTTTCGTGCTATATTGTAGACTTACTTTCCACTACTTTTCAACATTCTGATGTATT